TTTCAACCTTTCGTACGGATTATATTTTCGCACAGTGCTACATGTAACTATGCTGCATGCTAAATACACGTGTTCGCAAGCAGTATGCATGCTATAATGTACATAATTTCACATGAACAAATTTAGTACGGAATTAATTTTAGTACAAAAGATGCCGTGTACGAAATCGTACGAAAATATATTCCGTCCGAAAATTTCCTGCTGCTATACAGTATAGCCGAAATTAAATAGCCTCTGAAATGTTGGTATAATGTACAGTAGTCCGTCGTATCCCCCTGGCTTCAACTTGTGACAGCTGGGAAAGGTGGCTTTATTGATGGTCAACAGTTGTTGCAGTGGTCATTGTTCATGACAAACCAGACAGACCTAGAGCAAAACAAACAGCACTCACCTGCGATTGCCGCCAAAGAGAGTTCCCCTGCGGTAGATAGCAGGTCGGGAATAGAACAGAAGAGATTATACTGTATAAGTACAACGTTTCGTTCGGAATTAACTTTCGCTATATTCGTTAGGGGGCACGAAATAAACTAAAGCTTGTACCCATCTAAAAAAATTCTCTGAACGTTCGGGGTGACAGACCTTGACCAAAAACGAAATATAGTACGTAACGAACATGCTGGTGGAGTGATCTAACGAAAGATTTCATGAAAGAAAATTTGTACTTATAACAAACAAAAAAACATGCCGTTGTGCTGAAAAGCTACACTTCAGAATCATCTCCATAAACCCACCCGCACACATCCGAGGACGCATGCATTCCAACACGCACACAATCCCCGCTTGCCCCTTTCACCGCGCTCTCATATTTCTCGCCCGCTCGGATTTCACCGAGCGCAACTGTACAGTCGTGTACACACATGCAAGGCAAGCAAACCTACAGCTTTGTCTTGGACAGGCCACGGCGAAACGCGGTAGACTGAGACGAATCTGACAGAGCAACAAGCACACAGCACAAAGCAACATGGACATGACACGGCAGTGGCGGATCCAGGAGGGGTTCCAGGGGTTCCGCGGAACCCCTAAATTTCGTAAATGTACTCCATGTAATGGTAACCATATGCGTGTCCATGTACATGTATCAGCTATTCAGTTTTCACTATGCTGGAACCCCCATGTAAAGATCGCTGGATCCGCCGCTGCACGGCCATGGACGGTGGACAACACAGGCTTTGCAAAGAGTACATTACCAAGAGTGTGGAGCTTGCAGATACCTCAATCCACAGCGGAATGTTTTACGACATCAGTGTTTCCCGCCTGTTTGGCTCACCGATGCCGGCATCATGCATAGTCGGAGATCAAAGACGTAAAGAATGTGTACAGTACACGCAGAAATATTCGATGGGAATTTAAATTTTGCCACCTAACCCATGGACGAACATTTCGACCAGACCAACTACGTTTCTTTGGAGTTGGACGGTAATATTCAACGACTGAATTTTCAGACCTCGCTTGTTAACCGCACACATCCGTTTTCCACAAAAATATCCGGATAGGCGAGGGAACCGGATAATCGAGCACACATACTGTATGTATGCATGGAATATGCTGTAAATCGGTAACCAACAATTTTCTGCCAGATGACGAGGGATCTGGATAAAAGAGGACGGGATTAGGGAGGTCTGACTGTCCATCATAGTTACAATGACTGAAGCAGACCAGCAGCCCATAGATTCATGTGTCCCAGTAGCATGCCGCGCGCACTGACCCATAACCACAGTTGCGTATTCTATGTACTCTTGATCAGGGGCAAAGAGATGAACGTGCACACAGCAAGACAGCAGCAGGATCAAGAAGCCAGAACCCCCACATGCCTAGATACACCGTATTTTCCCGGTTATGAGTCGACCATCATCATCATCATCATCATCATTGACCCACCCAGGTTGCTGTGGCAACAATGTCACGCCATTCCGTCCTTGTCTCTGTCCAGTCAACCATTCATAACGTAAAAACATAATTAAAAAGGGGTAGTCGACTGACAACCGGGGTTTTTACAGCTATTGATCATAAGGCGAGACCGAAAAAATAGAGATTCCCGGGCCCTCCCGTTTCAAAATCGAGCCTCCCTGACGTACGACTTCAGGGCTGTCGTTGGCCGAAGTACGAAAACTTTGTACGGGTAAACCGCGTACCTGTTGTCTGTAAAAAAAGTAAAAAATTACCGGAACATAATGTAAAAAGAGAGTTCAGTATGCCATGCATATATACAAAGGGAAACAAACGAAGAAGAAAAAATCACCCGCCCGCACCAATTTCACATGTGCCCTGCCCGGGAATCTCGATTTTATTTTGGTCTCGCCTATTAAATGATATAATTATACAGGTCCTCCCTCGTTAGTAGATAATCTCTGGGCCATCGAAAAAGTTATCTTATAACGAGACTTATCTTGTAGCAGGACTTGCAGCTAAAGGTGAAATAGGCACTACTTCGTACTTACCGGGGCTACCCTCGATACAACATAAATTATCGATGCTTCAACTCGTTATAAGATAATGGAAAATCTTCAACATAACTCTTCCTTGGATGAAAAGGATCGTCCATATTCACGAATACATAGATATATTATTACGTTTCGTCTTTCTGCTTTATCCTACGTGTTTTGGCCTTGGTCCTGCATGGTCAGTATTATCTTATACTGAGGGTTTGGCACTCCAGGGACCTAGGCAAAGGGTCGTTATAACGAATTTTATGTACTAACGGATTATGTTGTAACCGAACCTGTAAACAGTTGTATAGACTACGTTTCGCCAGGGTTTATCAGATTTCTATTTACTAATGGGGTTTATGTACTAACCGGACTCGTTATAATGAGGGAGGACCTGTATTTATTGATTATGCAGCCACTAGCGCTCACCTTGTTGTGCTGCACCGGTCTTGACCCCAGCAGCAGGGGAGGCGGAGGTGGTGCCAGCAGGGGAGGCGGAGGTGGTGCCGGCAGGGGAGGCGGAGGTGGTGCCGGCAGCAGCAGCAGCAGCAGCAGCAGGACTTGTTGGCGCGGGGCGCGGCGATGCGGGCCTCGGTGGAGGCGCGGCTTTGGACGTGTGCTTCGCTTCCGCGGCGCTGGTGGATGTCACGGGAGCGCCGGCCACTTGCTGCCCACGCGGCATATCATCCGACGTGAAGGGAGTCTCGGGTGTTGCCATGACAGCATCCGCCATCGGAACTTCCTCGCCTGCCAGGACGTGGAGAGGGAGAGAAAGACTAACACGAGTTCAACAGAAATATCATATTTTTCGGAGTACAAGCCGCACCCCCACATTCTTTGCCACAAAATACAGACATCAACCCTATTTATCACCGTTAATTTGATCATCGGAGTATAAGCCGCATCCGCCCCTTTTCTGATGAATTTTCAGTGTTCAAAGTGCGGCTTGTACTCTGGAAACTTCGGCAACCGTTGCTAAATTTGGCTAACCCTTTGAGGCAGTGAAACAGCTACATCTAGAGCAATAACACAAAGAAAATCTGGTTGGGCTACAGTCTGCGACATCACATCTTTTGGGTTCAAGTTTCTACAAGGCGATGAGGATCTGTACGTTTGTGTCCATTCAAAGAGAAAGCGTAACATGAAGGCAAAACGCACAGTTCCGAAAATTGCATCTAACCTGTTTCCGTGTACTGCAACGCGACCTCGACGGAGTTATCAGCACCCCTGTAAGCGATGGAAACAACATCGAACACGCACACACACGCACACGCACACACGCACGCACACGCACACACATCCCAGTAAGGTTAGTTTTTGGTTTAATCATGCACTATGGGAAGCACAGCTTCCACTTCCAGCATAGCGTATAGCTGATAAGGCAAGGAGCAGAGGGCTTAGTCCACTAATCACCGCTTGGCTCAGTGGACACACCTCAAAGACAAACACCTCCACGCTCATTATTTATTATTTTATTATTATTATTATTGTAGAAGAGAAAAGGACATATGGATACGAGTTAAGAGTAACTCTCCATCACTGTAACATGATGCTATATACAGTCAGAAAGTGCAATAACTAGGCACAAAACTGACAGAGTACTGAGACATTCGACGTCCTGACACCTAACTTCAACACATGTCCGTAGCGCTAACCGACAGCCTTCCAACTTGGAAGGTTCAAGGTTTTGGAAAGACCAAAGAGGGGAAGGCAAGCGCAACGAAAACGAGCAAAAGCTACAGTCCCAACGGAACAAAGAATGTCGATTGTTACTGGACGATGACGAGACCAGTATGATATTTGACAAAGCGGTCTAACTACAATTCGAAGCAGCAAAGCAGCACACCACCCAACTTGGGTGGGTCATAAATATCAAAGATAAGTAAAGAAAGGGAAGCTTTGCGAAAACGAATTGTACAAGCCGAAAGCCAAACTCCTACAGTACTCCTCATGCATGACATTGTGATGGACTAGTTGACTACAAAACAAGTTGTTTCACACGACGTACGTTTCGCCGTATGGTTCGTGACGGCTCATCAGGTGTGCAATTTTAAACTCGGATGTTGAGCCATAAATAAATGTAGAAGAGAAAAGGACATATGGATACGACTTGTTTTGTAGTCAACTAGTCCATCACAATGTCATGCATGAGGAGTACTGTAGGAGTTTGGCTTTCGGCTTGTACAATTCGTTTTCGCAAAGCTTCCCTTTCTTTACTTATCTTTGATATTTATGACCCACCCAAGTTGGGTGGTGTGCTGCTTTGCTGCTTCGAATTGTAGTTAGACCGCTTTGTCAAATATCATACTGGTCTCGTCATCGTCCAGTAACAATCGACATTCTTTGTTCCGTTGGGACTGTAGCTTTTGCTCGTTTTCGTTGCGCTTGCCTTCCCCTCTTTGGTCTTTCCAAAACCTTGAACCTTCCAAGTTGGAAGGCTGTCGGTTTGCGCTACGGACATGTGTTGAAGTTAGGTGTCAGGACGTCGAATGTCTCAGTACTCTGTCAGTTTTGTGCCTAGTTATTGCACTTTCTGACTGTATATAGTATCATGTTACAGTGATGGAGAGTTACTCTTAACTCGTATCCATATGTCCTTTTCTCTTCTACATTTATTTATGGCTCAACATCCGAGTTTAAAATTGCACACCTGATGAGCCGTCACGAACCATACGGCGAAACGTACGTCGTGTGAAACAACTTGTTTTGTAGTCAACTAGTCCATCACAATGTCATGCATGAGGAGTACTGTAGGAGTTTGGCTTTCAGCTTGTACAATTCGTTTTCGCAAAGCTTCCCTTTCTTTACTTATCTTTGATATTTATGACCCACCCAAGTTGGGTGGTGTGCTGCTTTGCTGCTTCGAATTGTAGTTAGACCGCTTTGTCAAATATCATACTGGTCTCGTCATCGTCCAGTAACAATCGACATTCTTTGTTCCGTTGGGACTGTAGCTTTTGCTCGTTTTCGTTGCGCTTGCCTTCCCCTCTTTGGTCTTTCCAAAACCTTGAACCTTCCAAGTTGGAAGGCTGTCGGTTAGCGGTACGGACATGTGTTGAAGTTAGGTGTCAGGACGTCGAATGTCTCAGTACTCTGTCAGTTTTGTGCCTAGTTATTGCACTTTCTGACTGGATATAGTATCATGTTACAGTGATGGAGAGTTACTCTTAACTCGTATCCATATGTCCTTTTCTCTTCTACATTTATTTATGGCTCAACATCCGAGTTTAAAATTGCACACCTGATGAGCCGTCACGAACCATACGGCGAAACGTACGTCGTGTGAAACAACTTGTTTTGTAGTCAACTAGTCCATCACAATGTCATGCATGAGGAGTACTGTAGGAGTTTGGCTTTCAGCTTGTACAATTCGTTTTCGCAAAGCTTCCCTTTCTTTACTTATCTTTGATATTTATGACCCACCCAAGTTGGGTGGTGTGCTGCTTTGCTGCTTCGAATTGTAGTTAGACCGCTTTGTCAAATATCATACTGGTCTCGTCATCGTCCAGTAACAATCGACATTCTTTGTTCCGTTGGGACTGTAGCTTTTGCTCGTTTTCGTTGCGCTTGCCTTCCCCTCTTTGGTCTTTCCAAAACCTTGAACCTTCCGAGTTGGAAGGCTGTCGGTTAGCGCTACGGACATGTGTTGAAGTTAGGTGTCAGGACGTCGAATGTCTCAGTACTCTATCAGTTTTGTGCCTAGTTATTGCACTTTCTGACTGTATATAGTATCATGTTACAGTGATGGAGAGTTACTCTTAACTCGTATCCATATGTCCTTTTCTCTTCTACATTTATTTATGGCTCAACATCCGAGTTTATTATTATTATTATAGGCTTTTCCGCGTTGGCATCGCCAAGCAAGCTTGGTCGCTTAAGCTGCTCCATGATGACGAGACAAAACAAGGAATGCATGTACTGTATATACGATCTAGGACAGAACCAAGGTTGAGGATATTGTTGAAGAAAGCTGCAAGTTGTGTTGAGGAACACAAAGTCGCAAACTGTACGAAAGTAAACTGCAAGAAATGTTTTGGGGTTGATCGCATGGTGATTGTAGTCACAGGTGTTAGTAGCATTAAAGGTTGTGTTTTCACAGGTATGTTGTTTACATTCCTACTCTTTAACAGGATAATATTTTCATGGAATATGTTAATCAATGAGTTATGTACCGTAAAGTCTTGTATAAAAGCCGCCCTCGAATAGAAGCCGCAATTTTGGGCCCATCAAATCACACATAAGCCTGGTGTTAGTGTTGACATACATAGAAATACCTGTCTTGTATAGAAGCCTGCAAAATTTCACCAAGAAAGTCATAGAAGCCGCGGCTTTTATACAAGACTTTACGGTACTCATAGCAATCTAATTTTAAGTCATGTTCAATGAAACGCGAGCGATCCAGTTCCTATGTCATGCCTGTTTCTGCGCAATTCAACTTCTCATTGTCAGCGCACATGGCTACAGCAGCAAGTAAACGGATATCGTTCCAACCGGTACAGAGACATTCAGCAATGAACGATCATTCCACGAATTATGAGATGAATACTTAGTAGCAGTTCTTGTATGTAGTCAGAAGTATTTAAATCCTCTATGTGTGTGCAACCCAGGGAGTTCAAGCATCCAGGAAGACAACACGAGCGACTGCAACGCTAAACAATGTGGATTTGCTCTCTGACTGAGCCCCACCACCACACACACAGACACACACAGACACACACACAGACACACACACATGCATGCAAACACACGCGCGCGCACCCTCACAGTGCTTGTGCTGGCTCACTGGCAAAACTGGTCACGTGGGTCTCCCCGGGAGAGGGGAGAGAGATAGACACAGACAGACACAAACAGACACAGGCACAAACAGACACACACACACAAATGCAAGCCGCGCGCACATACACCTAAGTACACAAGCCTAGAAACATAACGACAACATAAAGCACACTGACTTGCGGTATGTGGCCTTCCTGGAGTCTGATGGCTGCTGCGAGGATCGAGTTGGTATGCCTGACGTACGTCGCCTGTCAGCAAGAATGCATGAGCGCATTCGCATGAACACGCACAGACATGAGCACAGACATGAGCACAGACATGAGCACAGACATGAGCACAGACATGAGCACAGACATGAGCACAGACATGAGCACAGACATGAGCACAGACATGAGCACACACACACACACACACACACACACACACACACACACACACGCAAGCGTGCATGCACGCACAAGCACACACACACACACAAGCACACACACACACACATGACAACACACAAGTGAAATCCAGCCCTTAGTACAGCACAGACAGATCAACAGAGGTGCCTGCACGGCAACCGTCTAAAAGCGAACACAATGCAGCCAGGCCCATGCTCGCACTAAACCTTGCTAAACCAGGGGCTGAATTTCATTGGCTGCCACTGGAGCAGTAAAAGTAGGGACCACTGGAGCACTAAGGTGTGCAGACAGAGACATATCCTTCCAAAATATGGAATCGGTACAGCTAGAGTTGAAATGAAACGTACTTGGAACCGGAACGAAAGTCATGCTTCAGCGATGTCAATGACCAATCAACCGTACGTGAGGGAGCAGCGCTGGCAGCCTCTGCTGTCATACAGGAACAAGTGGGTGATGCACGCACACACAAACACATATACGCACACACATGCACATACACATATGCACACACGCACGCACCCACAAACACACACATAATTATACGAGTACACACCATGTATCATGTATACGCCCGTCGCAAGAGAAGCACGCAAATCTGCAAATGCACTGGATGTGCACCCACAGATTTTCTCTTATAGCAATGATAGCGAACAAGATCTGAATGAGACAGATCAAGACTTGCGCCAGATAACTGTCTAATCCACACAACTGGCGAAGCCATGCGAATCGACCACCAATGCACACCTGGTCTACACCATACGGAGTACATCGGCATAAAACGGCCAAGACAGTTACCTATGCACACCCTACACTTGCTGGGGTAACCACACGCACAGATACACACACACAACTACCATGTTCAATACATTGAAACTTTGAAAGACAACCGTGACATAACAAATAGCATACACGTACTTCAAATCACACAATGCAACTACACTCAATACACAGCACCCCACCCTCTGAAATTCCAAAATTCGAAAGTATCGCACACCAGCGTTGCCTGACCTTGATTGGAGGGTGGTGACTGTTGAAGCAAGCGCTCCTCCAGTGTCTGGTTGACCTGCGACGAGTGCGGCACGTTGGCAAGGCCGCTGTACTGCGGGCAGTAGATACAAAGATAAGGGAGAGAGAGAGAGAGCACAGAATCTGCTACGAGGCGGTGCTTCAACAGAGTTATCGCACGTTTAGTAGTAGCATGAATGCATGGAGTCAATCTACCATCATATCTCTCTTTTATCCGGACCTCAAAGTAACGGGCACCTCGGTCTACAGGGCCTGTGGGTGCTCCTTTCCATAAAGGTCCACTGTTCGGTACTCATGGCCGTAACACACCTTTCGAGAGGTTGGCTGCTCCGAACATGGAACTCACAGACTTGATGACACTTGACAAAGTCAAAATTTGTAAAAAAACACCGTCAAAGTCACTTCTACAACATTCGTATTGTGAGACCACTTAGAGGTACACTTTGATTGGAATATCAGTAGTCAAACTATTGTATAAAGTGTGACACTTGAGCAAACAGAAAGGGGAGCATCAGCAAAGGGCAAGCTACCTCATCTTTGCTTGAGCCGCTGTCAAGTAAATTCCGCAGGCGACTGCTCGCTTTCCTCTTTGCCTAAATGGGAATAGACAAGAGAACGGAGAGAGAGAGAGAGAGAGAGAGAGAGAGAGAGAGAGAGAGAGAGAGAGAGAGAGAGAGAGACACACACACACACACACGTACACAAACACACACACGCGCGCACAGACACATGGAGACAGAAGGAGAAAGAAGAGCGAGCGAAAGGAGACAGGGCAAGATTCAAGATGCAATTCGGGCAGGTTGTACAAATCCACAACTAGATGAAAGAGGAGTAGAAAGCCTGGATCTGACTACAGGTGGATACTATGGCGTTTACATGAGAATTCTCAACCCGGGTCGAGTTCAACCCGGGTTGAAAGTCTGTAAGATACACAAAATCGGTGGGTGTTTACATGAAGACAGTTGCCCCGGGTCAAATACTGATAAGCCGCCAAAAGTCCACTTCTAGAGTCCTGTATGGTCAAGTGAATATTTTCGCATGAAATTTGCCCGTGCAGTGCTGTTCAAACCTGGCGCGAGATACGCACAGGAGTACGGTGTGCGATTTCTCGATTTCAACCCTCCCCCAAGTGGAGGGTTGAAATCAACCCGGGGCGAAATTTCAACCCGGGTCAAGCGCAATGTGTCATCAAGAGTACATAACCCCCCAGAGTGTGCAACGCCGATCCAGCTCTGTGTAGGGTCTTGGTCGAGCGGAATCGGATCTTCTGATGTCATGCGTACACTTCACACCAGCGCAAGGCCGGTCTCGAGGCAGGGCACCATTGTTTTTGATCCAAGAGTACCCGCGACTCCCCGGGTTCCCCTCAGATGTGTACGGTATTATGACGCAAAGATCCGATTCCGCTCGACCAAGACCCTATGCAGAGCTGGATCAGGCGTTGCACACTCTGGGGGGTTATGTACTCTTGGTGTCATGTGTAACGCGCCAGTCAATCTGTGTTCCTGGCGGGTTGAAACTGGACCCGGGTCAAACTAAACCCGGGTTGAAACGCCTCATGTAAACACAGCCTACAGTCCATTCAGAAAAGGTTGATATCCTAGCTTTTGGCCATAAATGGGTCAAATTTTGGGTTTTCGTCTCCTTTTTTTTGGCAATCCCCCATGGAATGCTCTTCCAATTGTGTTTTTGAAGTCTATTTCTCCAAAAAGCAAGCCATAACAAGAATAGGATTTCGGCCAGGTTTTGCCCCCAAAGCACTGAATTGGGTAAAAACCATGAAAATCCAGGCCGTTCACTCCACTTGCATAACAGTACATTTGCGGTTCGAACCCCAGTTGAGGTGCCTTTTTGGACCCTTTTTCAAGTTTCGAATCGCGCGGCACTGCACAGTGTACCACAAAATCGCCAAACACGGGAGCTCTCCAGAGCCAGCGCTCAACCTTTTCTGAATGGACTGTAAATACCTACCTAGTGCACCGTAGATTCTCTATCAAATAATTAATAATTAATTAGAAGATGCATGGGAAACTAGGCTGTGCCTTGCAAACAAACTGGTTGCCGAGCTTTGCCAATAAAGTGGCTGTGCCGTGAGAACAAACAGTATCTGTCCAAAACAGGGAGAAAGAGGATGTCACCTGACCTGCAATTGATTCAACCAAAACATCATGGATTGGCGTGACTCGGCCTGCAGATAGAACACCTTGTCTTCCACCCTGGGCAGAGGTTAACGCGTGCATGCATACATGCATGCACATACGCATACACACACACGCACGCGCGTGCGCACACACACACACGCACACGCACACACATACACAACACACACCCGAGCACACACACACGCACACGCACGCACACACACACACGCATACACACACACACACACACACACAGTCATCGGCGAGACAATGTAGTTGCAATGCAGAGGCTCTGCTTCATGTAACACTGCAAGTTTTCTCTCTCTCTCTCTCTTCGTAGGCGACTTAGACCTGTGTTTTTCCTTTTGTGATTCTGTTTCCCTTAGAGTAGCTTTCACTACGATGGACCCCTCGGATTTTATTTCGTTGTTGGCTTACCCTGAGGTGCGTTTGGCAGGCTGAGTTTGGCTTTAGAAGTTGCATCCGCCCGCACCGGCGGGATACAAAATGGTACCTCCGCCTCTACCAGCGGAATAGCGGAATTCAAGTCCCTCCGCCCCTACCAGCGGCATACAAAATGGTCCACCCGCTCCCTCCGGCGGTATACAAACAGGTCATTCCGCCACTGCCGGCTGCTCACAAATTGGCACACAGCAGACACCACCTCCAAGACCATCAAGGGTAGAGTCACACAGGGTTGCCACTGAGAGCCCCCGGGCCTCAGATGACGAATCGGTGGGCTACGATGGCCATGCACGTTTTGCAAGGGACAAATCCCCAGGTTTGCACGTCCTTGTTTCGGACAATGAGTTCGGCCACTGTCGTTCCCGTTCTCGATCGCCCTTTTCACATCGAGAACACCGTTGGGGACTGGCAAGGGCCAGGCCGCGAGCTGTAAGTCAGCGCATGCGCCTTCAACCATTTCCGCATAAGGCCCCGCTCGCAGAGCTTGGGGTATCGTTCCCGATCGCCCACGGCTTCACCGGAACCCCATAGGGCTCCCTCTGTATGAGGGCATGGAACCGGGGATCGATCTCAACGACGCCGTCGCCGTTCGTCAAGTGAGTCCGGGTCTGGACCCGGCGGTGTTGTCCACTCCCGGGCCTCGGCCAGGGGAGCTAGGCGGAGAGCTTCCATCTCTCCTCGCCGTCGACGCTCGCGGGGCAGACGCTCCTGGTCCTCATCCACGGACTCAAGATCTAGTAGTCGGTCGTACTCCTCATGCGAGGATTTTTCATCTAGTGGGACGGGATCCTCACCTGACCGTGACCATGGTGATGAGGTATTTGACCCGTCGCGCCTAGGTGCAAAGGACTCTTGGCACCCACCAGCTCATATTGAAGCCTTCCTCCGTGCTAATGCCCGGCGGTCTCTTACCTCCAAGCAGAAGGCGGAATTGAAGAAACTCTGCCCATTTCCGGAGGTGGAGGAGGCCCAGTGTCCTCGCCTGGATAATTTTGTACGCGACCTCCCGTCGCTAGGCTTTGGCCAGTAGGACAGATAAAGCCATGGCAGCGGTGCAAGCTAGGGTGTGTGCCGCATTTGCGCCATTTTGCTTCGGAAGACTTTTCAGCAGCGTACTGTTAGGCCCACAAGAACAAGAAACCTCTCTCCGGAAGAAGAACTGGCAGCTGCCCTCCTGATCCCTCTACCGCCCTGCTCGCCGCCTCCTCCTCCTCCAGATCCATGTAAGAGTGGCAGTGCCACCATGGTGTACAGGCCTATGGAAGGTGAAATAATCCATGGAATTTGCGAACTGCTGACAATGAGACAGGCGAGTGCTACTGAGGCGATGGAGTCATTCCTGCATGTTATCAGGACACAGTTACACAAGGCATCAGGTTTTGGAAATCTGCTACGCCAGGAAGTGTGCCAGCTGAAGGCATGCAACGGTGCTGGCATTTCGCAAGCATGGCAACAAGTGCTCTCCAGCATCTCAACAGCTTTTCCCAAAGTGAAGCTCTGTATAAGACACAATATGACACAGCTAAAAACAACTGAAGCAGTGACATGTGAATGTTGCACGAGCATGCGTGTGTGTGTGTGTGTGTATGTGTGTGTGTGTGTGTGTGTGTGTGTGTGTGTGTGTGTGTGTGTGTGTGTGTATATGTGTGTGCGGCTGTGCCAAAGCCTAGAGTGTTCATTTGCGGCTGTGGCAGGGACTTCAGCGTCGGCCCAATGATCTAACTCGCCACAGGAAATACTGCAACTCCTGATGCTATCATTGCACGGAGCAATGGGCATCCAAAGGTCCAAAGGTGTATGTGTGTTGTGCATTGGTGGTCGATTCACATGGCTTTGCCAGTTGTGTGGATTATACAGTTATCTGGTGCAAGTCTTGATCTGTCTCATCCAGATCTTGTTCGCTATCGTTGCTATAAGAGAAAATCTGTGGGTGCACATCCAGTGCATTTGCAGACGTGCGTTCTTCTCTTGCGACGGGCGTATGCATGGTATGTGTGTGCGTGCGTGTGTGTGTATGCTTCTGTGATAAGTGGATCAAGCAGTATACAGGGTATTCAAAGGTATTCGCCTTGAGTGCATTTGCCGATAGTGTGACTTTCGTCGCAGAGAACTTTGCTCAGTCGGTCAGGCGACTCGGCCTTACGTTTCCTGAAGGCAATGTGTTCAGAACACAGTTACTTCAAGTATGAACAGCTATGAACAGTTAAGAAATGACAAATATTGTGTGTAGTTCATGGACAATAATGTGAAACACTTTGAATGCAGAAGAATGAGGATAGTGGCATCAAATGCTGCATGGATTCTGTTTGATATGCTACTTTTTTCCCTTCCATGGAAAGGTGAGTACATCCTCAAACTTTATCTCGAAACTTCACACAAACCTGGAATGGAACTTGGACAACATGAAGGGGCCATGGGCATGGTGTGTTCAGTGGAGAACTATTCCGAAAACAGGGTGTCATTCGCACTTACTCAATTCGAATTTGAGTATATTTCGTGAATAACTTACCTTGACATTCCGTCGTCTCCAAAGCAGTGAACTTCCCAAAAAAATTAAAAGCCACGGCTCAACCTAAGGTAATGCGTGGTACGTATCAGAAACAACCAGCTTTCGCTCTGGAGATCCAGAATAGGCCTCGAAGCATAGCAAAAACAATTGAGAAAAAGAAGATGACGACGACGTTTCAATCACACATCAAATTTCGCGGGTCGAGTGCAGCAATCCTCGGATCGTGAAATGTGTGGCGTGTCGCCTCCCGGTATTTTACGACTCCCTGGGTTCGACCTTTAGCAAGATGCACGCTATTTTTAGTACGCTGTTGCCCCCGAGAATAGCTTTGATTTCACGCGGTACAACCGTATTTGTCACCATATACGCGATACAAGGTGAAATGCGTACGAACTATGCAATATTTGGCCAAAACACGTACCGTTGGTCACAACGATAAATCAGCCCCCATAACGTTTATACGCTGCAGCTTCAACGCTATTTGGGTGATCAAGTACGAGTACCGTAAAAAAAATAGCGTTACCGTTGTTTGCTAAGGGTGTCTAATTGCAATTTTCCCCCTTCCTTTTCTCCACGTGGACGCGGAGTCTTTTTCAAGTGGGGGTGGTATGTTAGGTTCACGATCTCACATATGCACGCACTCGCACGCACTCACACACTCGTACTCACCTTTACAGGCTCGCACTCACCTTTACAGGCTCGTACTCACCTTTACAGGCTCGCACTCACCTTTACAGGCTCGCACTCACCTTTACAGGCTCGCACTCACCTTTACAGGCTCGCACTCACCTTTACAGGCTCGCACTCACCTTTACAGGCTCGCACTCACCTTTACAGGCTCGCACTCACCTTTACAGGCTCGCACTCACCTTTACAGGCTCGCACTCACCTTTACAGGCTCGCACTCACCTTTACAGGCTCGCACTCACCTTTACAGGCTCGTACTCACCTTTACAGGCTCGCACTCACCTTTACAGGCTCGCACTCACCTTTACAGGCTCGCACTCACCTTTACAGGCTCGCACTCACCTTTACAGGCTCGCACTCACCTTTACAGACTCGTACTCACCTTTACAGGCTCGTACTCACCCTTGTTCCCTTTTCAAACCTTTTCTTCCGTTGGCCTGGGTAGCTGGTTTCGCGCTTTAGCACATTCATTTCCATAGCTACCCAGGCGCTTGATAATGGGGTATTCACACGACAGGCACTTGCACGTTTTACCGGGAGTGACATACGAGGAAAGTGACTGTGTGGATTCACACAGCTGCACTCGACGACAGGCACGTTTGCATTTTTGAATGCTTCACCGACCAGTAGCCATGGGTATTTCAAATTTTCAAAACACACATACGATAATTATCATGCTCTAAAGAGCCGCGTAAAAAATCAAGTCTTGTTTCGCGCTTTTTGGTGTAAATGTACTCGTGCACGCCACGATTATCGTGAAAGTGGGCCCCCAGCTCGCTTTCACTTTTCAGCCACTTTCAGGCACTTTTCTCGTTCACAGGTAAAATACCATAGCAACATTCCGGTGCACGTGGATTTGCCTGTCGTGTGAATACCCCATTAGCTCTGGCTTGGACATGTTCTCTCTCTCTTTCCAACGAATCTCGACCTGAGACTTGAGTTGTTGGCCCTCGTCCTTTTGTGATCGTGGCTGTTCGCGTGTGTGATCCGTTGATCCTTACAGTTGTGTTAGTGAGTAAGAAACCTCTTTTGTTCGGACCCAACAGTACAATAAAAAGAACAACATTTTTAAATGTTGTTCTTCGTCTCCACTTCTCCAAGGGGATGAGCACTTTAACTTGAAAACAACTATAGTTGCGCTCACTGAAATCCGAACCGAAGTGCAAAACCGGCACCCTGGACCAGTTCCGATCACATCACTGTATTTGTACATGCGTACATCACGCCGCATAGACCTTTTGCCAGTTGTGCAGAATCAAGACATCCCGTAGAATCTCGTACACCCGGTTGGGTGTTCATTGTGTGCTATGCATGCGCATTTGACCAATTTTAGCCTCATAATTTAATGGCAAGCAATCGCTTTTCCAGCTTCTTCACTTTGGTTAGAACTAATGACTAGCTAGATCTTTGTCAGAAAAAGGTTTTCGTAAGAAATGCCTTCAGGGCCCATTTCTTAGTGGAAATAGCAGAAAACACAACAGGGTCCTGCACATTCAACACCCAACCGGGTCTACGGGATTCTACGGGATTTCGTGGATCTGCACAACTGGCATAAGGCTTATTCGTATCACTTCCAGGGCGCCAAGGGCCGTTCAAGCTGAGGGCGCCAAATATGCACTATGGAGTATGGGTCGGATTTCACCAAGCACAACTGTACATTGTACACTGATACAGGATAGAGATCCAAGACTTACTTGATCTCAAACTGCCCTTTGTCGACATTCTCCAGGTCAAATGAAAGTGAAGCTACGCGGATGTCGATATTCCTGTAAAGAAAAGCACACGCATACCAAAAAGGCAAAAAAACTCAGCACATGTGCTTGACGTGAGTGTGTGTGTGGGGGGGGGGGGGGCAACGCTATGCATTGCGCATCACACAGGTGGAAATCTCCATACCACATAAGAGGATGGTTGAAATCAAGCCAATGTACTCGCATACTTGCGTATTAGAAAACAAGATTGAATGGCACTGTGCTCTCAAATTTCCCGCCAAATAGTTCCAACAAACTCCACAAATTTCCGACGGAATGTGATCCATCTCAGGTCAACCTTCATTGTATAGCTTTAAAACTGGGTTGAAAACTCTCATGCAAAATCCGAATGAGAAAAAGAAATAAAAATAAAGCAACACTGCTTCACTGATTATTCCGTGAAATGAATTCCGTCAACTCTTGGGTGTTCCACATCGCATTGCATGGATCCTACTGCAACTCTTGCTTTGCTCTGCAACGTTTCACACACACACACACACACACACACACACACACACACACACACACACACACACACACACACACACACACACACACACACACACACCAACATGGTAACGCTATGTGTGCAGTACAAGCACTACTTACCCGAGAGGAACAAAGTCTTGTGGATTTCTGTAGTAAAACAACATGCAACGCGAGTCATCGAACACAAACCTGCAGCAAAAGAACATGAAGAGAGAGAGAGAGAGAGAGAGAGAGAGAGAGAGAGAGAGAGAGAGAGAGAGAGAGAGAGAGAGAGAGAGAGAGAGAGAGAGAGAGAGAGAGAGAGAGAGAGAGAGAGAGAGAGAGAGAGAGAGAGTAAGTTACATTTATAAAGACAGGTAAGTCTAACAAATGAGGACTGAGACCTCTACAACAGGGTTTTTACGCCTGAAAGCAGGTGCATGATTTAACAAGCAGGTTGTCAGTCTAGATTTTATGCGCAGATGGAGAAAAAGCGAGAGAGAGAGAGAGAGAGAGAGAGAGAGAGAGAGAGAGAGAGAGAGAGAGAGAGAGAGAGAGAGAGAGAGAGAGAGAGAGAGAGAGAGAGAGAGAGAGAGAGAGAGAGAGAGAGAGAGAGAGAGATAAAGAGAGAGAGAAATGCTGTCGCCCAAGTCGTTTAGCAAGTCCTTTCCGTACATTTTAGATCAGGTATAACGACCTCGAAATAAAGACAGATCGAATTTACTGACACTTTTTCATTCAGCTTGTATAAGGCGGACTAGCATACATGGAACATGCCCGTGCTGTACACCGTACACTGCATGCAGAGCAGAAGTACGATGTACATGCCGCATTGCAGAGGTGTAGTTGCCGTGCATGACTCTTGGCTTGAACTATGCATGCATGGCACATGTACATGCTTGGAACTATGCATGCATGGCACATGTACATGCTTGGAACTATGCATGCATGGCACATGTACAAGCTTGAACTATGCATGCATGGCACATGTACAAGCTTAAACCATGCATGCATGGCACATGTACATGCACATCTGCAATACATTTCTGTCAGTTTGATATACATCTTGCATACTAAATTTGAAGATCGGGTTTAGTGACAGATCGAATATAGTGACATTTTGTTTTCTCCCGAAGGAGTGTCATTATATCCAATCTCCACTGCAATGCCAGATATTCCGAGTGAGGTTATGTTATGTAAAGTTAATCAGCTGTTAGGATAGAACATACTACAGCCCATTTCAAAAATATAGACACATGGTATTTTTGAAATATTTAAAATTTGGCTGGAGCTTTTCGAGAATTTTTTCGGAACATTGCTCAGGTCCTTCCCGCAATTACTCTCATATAGATTTTTAAGCGATCGGATAGCACACACCAAACTTCCAAATATTTTATGCACAAAGTGATCACAGATTTTATGTGGTATTGATAATAGCCCAACGGTTTTTCGAAATCACGCTTCTATATTTTTGCAACGCACTGTTGGCAGATCACAACTAGCCAACCAGCTAGCCAACCAGCTAGTCACACTGGAAAAGATCTATGTAGAAGCTGTGATTTCACGCATATCTACATACCACCTCCATGGTGCAAGTACAATACAATACAAAATGCACATCCGGAGATGATAGCAGGTCCCGAAGGCACCAACAGATTTCAAGTCACAAGTAGAATCGGGTGTGGCTAGTCAAGTCCTGGTGGCGGCGATAACTCTTTTCACCACTGCAAACAAAAAAAGTCTAAGGTGACATGCTCAGGAGGAGTGCAAGCACAGGTGCGCGCACACACACACATACACACACACATGCACATACACAAATATAGACACATGCACACATATAGACACATGCACACACACTCACCATCGGGTTCTCCATGGCTTGATGATTCCACGCCCTGCGACACACCAAGAAAGAGCATCAAACAACACAATACATCGTGATAAATGGCACACACCATCCACAGCTGATATTATGGGTTAGACCGGGTGCACGCAGTCAGCCAGCACACACTGAGAGAACTCGTCATACAGTCGACCTGCCCTTATAACGATATTTGCGTCAGACCAAGAAATATTGTTATAAGGGTAATATTGTTAGCGGGGTAACTGGTTCATTTCATACACATACGTCATAATGCATTGATTTTGTACATTTTTGACACTCTTGAGTCTTCATAGCATAAAAAACGGACGTACATGCACATTATGTACATAGCAAGGTGCCCACTGGTGTCCCCATTGCATTTCGTCATGTCCCAGCGACTTATCAAGTGAAGCTTGCCCTACCTGGACAGTGGGCTCTACATATTTCCTGCTAGATATTATAAAATGGAAAATGTCGATTTGTCAGCCCATTTTATATCGTTATAGGGGTAATATTGTTATAGCAATATTGTTATAGAGGTAAGGCATTGTATACACAAGTCAATGGAGTGATTTGGTTTGGCACAAAAATATCGTTATAGAGGTTATCGTTATAAGGGCAGGTCGACTGTACATCACGCAGAAGTCACTGGGAATGCGAGGCCGGTAGCACTAAGTACAACACTATGGCCGTAAGCACTATGACCCGGCGAAATCCGCACAATCGTGATACCAGGAACTGGCACTCTCACTAGCGTTATTCTGTCACCGCTCTAAGTGCTCTGAAAGCTGCATAAATCACACTGGTCTCCCCTAGACATCACCACTGTGCAAATGTTGAAGAGGTGCGAATGGCTTCATCAGATTTTCCACTTGTGCTTATGTTATAATATATGCTGATTCGCCCCACCAATGAAATCTCTCTTCGTGAACTCCGACAACACGCAAACATGTCAGACTTGTGTGTATTTGGTCAAAATGGCATCCAGGCATGCAGCGCAGTACTAGCATTGCTTGCGCCATCCAGAGGGACAGCATGGCCGGGCGGAATGCGACATGACAATGCGGGCCGTGCTTCCAAGCTGCCGCTGCATGGTCACCCCCAGGGCTGGGCCAGATGAGCAGGTGCTGCATGCATGCTGCAGTCGACGCCAAGGAAACGCGGACAAGAGCTCAGCCGCAGTACCGTACGGGATTCGCGTACGACAGTCTCCTCTCCTCGCGATGTCGAGTTCAGAATTCTTCACGGACACTGGCACACTGACATTGGCCTCAACGGTGCAGGTGACTGCCTCTCATACTTTCATCTCTATGCATGACATTGTATTCGATGTACAGTCAACTTCGCCAATAACGACATTCGGCGGGGCATCAGAAAAGTGTCCTTATTCGCGAAGTGTCCTTATAACCGAAGTCCCATTTGAATGTATGTGAACCCATATTTTGTATAGTATGATATGCATATCAAAATCAAGCTCTTTTCTTGCTCTATGTCAATGTGTACTTTATTTTCATATTGCAGTTGACAGAAACTAAAAATTCAATATGCAAGGGAAATCAATTGAAAAATATGCCTTTTTGAGCCATCTACAGGGCCAGAGACATGTACAATCATGTATGATGATTACTGTACAATCATGTACAACTACATGTACATTGTATACATATAGGTGTGCTGGTAAATCCAACAATTTTGAAGCCAACATAAAAAAGGAAGAAAAAGCCCCCCCCCCCCCCTTGGCTGCATTTTCTTCCATGTGTGCAATAATATCCATCACCAGTGCACCATGGCATAGGTTCTGGTACTTCTGCATGACAGGTACATGTGTCATATCGGCCTCGGCAGCTGACAGGTTCTCCCGGGCTGTACGACAAACTTCCCCGGGATGTACGACAAACTTCCCCGGGTTGTACGACGAACTAACTACTCTGCCGGTACTAGTTTACATGTTGGGTGAACGTGTTCCCCTCATGAGCGCGCGTTTGTACGGCAGTTGTCTTTTGTATCTACTTGTCACTTTTATCAATGCATGGGCCGCGGGATGTTGTATCTGCTAACTGTCTTATCGTATACGCTGGCTGTTTAGTTAATTCATAAATAATACGCATTTCTCCTTGTCTTCTCCCATTGGTCAATTCTGCATAGCAACAAGCTCTCTATGGTCTGATTGGTTGGTTTTTCCCGCCTTTGCTACGCCTTTGTCTAACTCGATCCTTTTTGTTCTCGATATAACTCCTGCTGCTTCTGATCAAAAGTACCAACCTTCCTTCGACCTTCACTCTTGAATCGAGCTGGAATCATAGTGACTCTCAACCTTATTCGAATGACCAAGGTGAGCGTGTGTGGCTGAATGGATACTTGGATCAACTATATTGGTTGATGACCTGGTGGGGTTACTACGGCAATGCGAATGTATATGTTGTAGCCTTGAGATCGGTATTGTGTATGTCCGGCACGACATATTTGGTGCTGTGACCAGGATCCAAGTTCTGTTCTTCTGTAGGCGATTGCTTACGGAAGGCCTCCACAAGCTGGAATGTTTGGTTGATGTCAGATGGGCTGTTGTCTAAACCGAACAGATCGAATGATTTGACGGCCGGGCAGCAAACAATGATCGTAATGTAGAGCGATTGCTCTTTGTTGAAGGCAGAGTTGCCTATTTTGGAGAGGATGTGGCTAGGCGAGAGTGTTGACAGAACTGCCAACACTCTCGCGCATGCGGGTTGAACTGGCGCGCGGACTGGTGATCGGTTGATCACCGTATCGTACTACAGATTTGTAGTTTGATGATGAGCTATATGAGGAGGGTTGAACTTAACTGGCGCGGACTGGTGATCGGTTGAACACCATACCGTACTACAGACCAGTTTGACCATGATTTTTGCTGACCCGTACGCGAATGGTGTGATCCGATGACGACTGTAGTACATACGAACGTATGTACTGTGCAGTACTTGTGACCTGAACAGCTCTCATTGGTCGGAGGACTACCGTACGAAGTAGCAAGTGGGGAATATAAGGCGCAACTGGGCAAGGAAAAGGTATCACAGTCTTGCGATTGCAAAAGACAAAGATATCCTGTTGAGAGCGAACGCACTCGATTTTCTGATTATCATGGCTCACAATCAGGCTCCGGATGCAGCAGCGAACGCTGCTGTAGGGGGTGCCAATGGTGGGGCGATGGTGGTACGGCCGGCAGTGATGCCTGAAGCATATGATGGCGTGGGGGATTGGGTGGAGTACTTGCAGTACTTCAACCAATGTGCTCGTGTGAACGAGTGGAATGACGTGCAAAAGGCTCAATACTTAGCCGTACGGCTAAGAGGGGCTGCACAAAAATTTGTTCCGACTGTACCTGAAGCCCGCCGAGTGGAGTGGCCTCAGGTCGTAGAGGACTTGTCGAGGAGGTTTGCACCACCAGAGACAGCCCGCCAATATAAGTCGCAATTTAGAACGCGAAGGCGCAAGCCTGAGGAAGACGTCAGTCGATTGGCTGACGACTTGCATAGTCTTGTACACAGGGCTTACCCGACCATGGGTGGAGACGTACAAGAAGAGTTGGTGCGGGATCAGCTCATTGATTCCATGACTCCTGACAGGCTGCGATTGCGCTTACAGGAAAATGCACCACGAACGGTGCAGGAAACGATCGAGATGGCTAACCATCTGGAGAGGGTGTGGGGGAACGAGGGCACGCACGGCCGAATGGACGATGCGTATGGCGTACCACGTCAATTGGTGACGGCTGCGGTTGCACCGCCTGAGCTCCCTACGTTGGAGTCGTTGGCAAAGTTGGTGGAGAAGCTTAGTGATCAGGTGGACAGGATTGCCCACCCTCCTAGGCCGAACCAACAATTCAGGAGAGGGGACCAAGTGGACAGAGTTGACCACTATAGGCCTGAACAATCGAGGGGTTTGACTTGCTGGTTCTGTGGCCGAATGGGACACAGAAGAGCTGACTGTCCAGACTTGATGAAACCCGGAAGGGAGTACCAATCTCGCCGACCGGCGGGAAACGGGCATTGATCGAGACGGCGGGCCGCGTCTGCGATCAAGAAACTGTGCTGGGTCCAGAAACTGAGGCGATTGTCTCGGATGCTCTAGAGAATGACTCTGAAGTGGTCGCTGCCTTGAGCAGGGCAGCAGAAAGCCACGGAGGTATGATGATTGAGGGAAGGATTAATGGGCTGCCAGTAGAGTTACTGGTAGATACGGGTTCCTCAGTAAGTCTAATTTCTGAGACCCTCTCGCAGCAGTTGGGCTACATGTTGGGCGACCTGGAACCACCAGAGAAGTCGACTGGCTTCTGCGGTGCGGATGGTCAGAGGTTGCATATGTGTGGCACGGTCGCTGCATGTTTGGCAATACAGGATGCTATTTGTGTCCATGAGATGAAGGTGATTCGAGGGTTGCGGTATCATTGCCTGATTGGGAGGGATGTACTATCGCAGATACCTTGCGAGATCACGTCGAATGATGGGAAATTGAACTTCAAGGCTGATAAGGCTGAAGTTTCAACGGTGGGAACATCACAACGCTGCCATAATCTTCGATTGAAGAATAGGGTAGTTATACCTCCATACTGTGAGATGACGGTGGCTGCCGTTATCGAGAACAAGGAGGATGTTCCTTCATGTGGCATCACCGAACCAGACGGCTGTCTGATCGATGGTGGGGATGTTTTGTTGGCACGAGCGGTTGTTTGTCCAACAGATGAGGGTGTACCCGTTCGGGTATTGAACTGCTCAGAGGAGTCAGTATCTTTAGGAAGAGGTGCCCGAGTGGGACAGCTGCTACCTATTTCAGCCGTGATGAGTGTCATGGGCGAAGACGAGGATGATTGCGATCATATAGGAATGGAATCCACGGGGGATTCGGGAAGTTCCGAAGACTTATGGTCGGCGCTCAACATTGGACTAGAAGGTCCTGTGAGTGGGAAGTCTGTGTCGGGGGATGACGAGCTGCAGCTCGGTTATGAACCTGGTGAGGGCACAGCGGAGGCGAACCGGGAGACGTCTCGTGTTCAGCCTGGTGGGCAAGGGTCAATTGGGAATGAGGAATTGGCACGCTTGCGTGATCTCGTCTGTCGCTACCGGATGGTATTCGCGATGAACTCTGCTGAATTGGGTCGCACGACTGTGCAACACCACAACATTAACACCAAGGGAAGAAGTCCTATCTTCCAGGCTCCTAGGCGATTGCCTTGGAATTCAAGGGAAGCCACCCGTGAACTAGTGAAGGGCATGAAGGAACAAGGGGTGGTAGAGGATTCTACTAGTCCTTGGTCTTCGCCAATAGTGCTGGTTAAGAAGAAGGATGGCTCAACTCGATTTTGCGTTGATTATCGCAAATTGAATGCCGTTACGGAGCGGGATCCATATCCTCTCCCACGGATTGATGATACGTTGGACGCGCTGAGTGGCGCGAAGTACTTTTCCACCTTGGATTTGTGTTCCGGCTATCATCAGCTGCCTATGGCAGAAGAAGACAAGGAGAAAACGGGTTTCTCCACTCCAGATGGGCACTACCAGTTTACAGTCATGCCGTTCGGTGTGTGTAACGGTCCAAGCTCGTTCCAGAGACTTATGAGTGTTGTCTTGCGTGGGTTACAGTGGCAGATTTGCCTCGTGTATCTCGATGATGTGATTGTGTTTGCAAAGACTTTTGACGAACACTTAGAGTGGCTCGAGGCGGCGTTTGAACGGCTATTGGACGCAGGGTTGCGTCTAAAACCATCCAAATGCTTCTTGCTGCGTACGAGGGTGGATTTTCTGGGCCATGTGGTCTCGGAAGAGGGTGTGAGCACTGATGAGGCAAAGACTCACCGCGTGGCTACGTGGGAGCACCCTACGAATGTAGCGGAAATTCGGGCATTTTTGGGGTTCTGTGGCTACTATCGAAGGTTCGTACCGAACTTCTCGGATGTTGCTAAACCCCTCACTCAGTTGACTAAACAAGGCCATGCGTTCTTATGGACCGAGGAGTGTGAAGAGGCATTTGCTACGTTGAAGAGTCGGTTGACTTCTTCACCAACCCTGGCATATCCACAATATGGACCTGATGCCCCGAGGTTCATTCTGGATGTTGACGCCAGTGGTACGGGATTGGGTGCTGTTTTGTCACAGCAAGATGAGAAGGGGGTCGAACGACCCATTGCCTTTGCTAGTCGATTGACATCTGCATCGGAACGCAGGTACGCTTCTACCAAAAGCGAATTGCTGGGTGTAGTTTGGGCGTTTAATCACTTCAGGTGTTACCTGCTCGGCAAGCGCTTCTTGGTCCGCTCGGATCACAAAGCATTGCAGCATTTGGACAACTTCAAAGAACCAGCGCCGATTGTCGCCAGGTGGTTGGAGTTCCTCAGTCAATTCGAGTATGATCTGCAATATCGAAAGGGCAAGGCTCATTCAAACGCAGATGGCTTGTCCAGACAGAAGACCAAACCTGTGATGAATGTTACAGAAGTGGCTCCTACCGTTCCTGGACCCTTGGTTCAGCGAAGGGACTGGACATATGGGACCTGGGCGATTACCCAGCAAGCTGATCCTGACCTCAGGCAGCTTTTTGAGTGGCTAATGGATGACGGCGAGTCGGCTGACTTGACCGGAAGCAGTCCGACTTTGAGGAAGTACTGGCGGGGACGCCAGCATCTTTCTGTGAAGGGCGGAGTGATTGGAAGGGAATGGGTTGAGCCTGAGATTTCAGCCCCCAACCGTTTTCAGATTTTGATCCCAGTTGATCTGCGGACTGAAATCTTGAAGGAGTATCACGATTTCCTTGGTCATGTGGGTATGAAGCGGACGATTGCCCAGCTTCGCACTCGGTTCTATTGGCATGGAATGAGTCGTGACGTTGAAGATTGGATCGGCACGTGCACGTCATGTTGTCGACGCTCCCGACCGGTTGGTCGAGGACAAGGGGCACCCTTCAGGTGTCCTGGGCGGGGTATCCCTTCGAACGTGTGGCTATGGATTTCATTCCAGGACTGCCTGAGACTTCAGGTGGAAATCGTCACATTTTGGTCGTTGTGGACTACTTCACGAAGTGGGTAGAGGCGTATCCGTTGAAACGGATGGATGCAGCGACTGTTGCATCGGTATTTGTGAGCGAATTCGTGTCCAGATTTGGAGCACCGGATAGCTTGCATACGGATCAAGGTGCAAACTTTGATTCGAAACTGTTCAAGAACGTTTGCGGCTTGCTTGGTATCAAGAAAACGCGGACAACGGCTTACCATCCGTCGGGTGACGGATTGGTAGAGAGATTTAACCAGACGTTAGAGCGATTGCTCTCACACTATGTTCAGAGAGACCAGCGTGATTGGGATGTCCAATTACCCGCAGCATTAATGGCGTATCGGGCTACCACCCAAGCCAGCACAGGGTACACGCCGGTGTATCTCCTCTTCGGCAGAGAGTTCTGTCTCCCGCAAGATGTTGCGTATGGTTTACCGCCAGCTGAACAGTTGGATGAACCTACGTATGTGCGTCAATTGCGGTCCCGTTTGGCGGATGTGCACACGATTGTGAGGCACAAGCTCGGTGCAGTGCATCGACATCAGGCGCATCTCTATGATCATAGGGCTGTGTCGGTGGAATTCGCGGAAGGAAGTCTGGTATGGCTCTTGGTACCCGCTGTTCCGGTTGGAACCAGCACCAAGTTGGCGAAATTGTGGAAGGGACCGTTCAAGGTTTTGAACCGGTTGTCTGATGTTGTGTATCGCGTCCGTGATATGGGATCAGACTCGGCTACATGCCAAGTTGTGCACGTGAACCGCTTGAAGAAGTGTCGTGTACGCCCAACACATCTCGCTACGGTTGTACGCGAGGAAGCGTCGAATTCATCTCCGACAAGGAACCCGATCAGAACTGCGTCACCACAACCGAGCTCCTACACGCCTGATACCACAGACTTGTTGTATGCGGAAAGAGCAGGTGGCCGTGACGAGCAGTTTGGAGGAGTAGAGCTACTTCCCATTGACGCTGCAGTAGCACCGGCTGATGTCAACCGTCCAGTTCAAGGAGTACCATTGCCTCCCGCTAACGCTGCAGTAGCACCGGCTGGTGTCAACCGTCCAGTTCGAAGAAGGAGACCACCCCAACGACTGGAGTACGACTAATGATTGCGGGACGCAATCTCCCAGAAGGCCGGGGAGATGTCATATCGGCCTCGGCAGCTGACAGGTTCTCCCGGGCTGTACGACAAACTTCCCCGGGATGTACGACAAACTTCCCCGGGTTGTACGACGAACTAACTACTCTGCCGGTACTAGTTTACATGTTGGGTGAACGTGTTCCCCTCATGAGCGCGCGTTTGTACGGCAGTTGTCTTTTGTATCTACTTGTCACTTTTATCAATGCATGGGCCGCGGGATGTTGTATCTGCTAACTGTCTTATCGTATACGCTGGCTGTTTAGTTAATTCATAAATAATACGCATTTCTCCTTGTCTTCTCCCATTGGTCAATTCTGCATAGCAACAAGCTCTCTATGGTCTGATTGGTTGGTTTTTCCCGCCTTTGCTACGCCTTTGTCTAACTCGATCCTTTTTGTTCTCGATATAACTCCTGCTGCTTCTGATCAAAAGTACCAACCTTCCTTCGACCTTCACTCTTGAATCGAGCTGGAATCATAGTGACTCTCAACCTTATTCGAATGACCAAGGTGAGCGTGTGTGGCTGAATGGATACTTGGATCAACTATATTGGTTGATGACCTGGTGGGGTTACTACGGCAATGCGAATGTATATGTTGTAGCCTTGAGATCGGTATTGTGTATGTCCGGCACGACACATGTACTTGACTGACAGGTACTTGAAATAGCTGTCAAAAGCCCAGAAAGTCGTTATTCAAGCAGTGGATATGACCACGGGGCACTAAAAGCATGTCGCTATACGCGAATTGTCGTTATTCGGATAGTCGTTATATCCGAAGTTAAATGTATACAGTTAGATGGGACTTTGCTCTGGGCATGGAAATTCGGTCGTTATTCGCGAATTGTCGTTATATCCGCAGTCGTTATTAGCGAAGTTGACTGTATGTATGTATTTGATGCATGATTTGGTGATTAACACGCTAGGGTTCTCGTTTCATACCATAAAAATGATGAAACCAGGATACCGGTATGTACACACCTATATACTGTGCCAGCACAAGTGTGTAGTACCAAGAGTAGATAAACAAGAGTGTGCAACTCCGGATCTCTCCTGCACAATCTGCAGATACCCCCGCCCACGGCGGAATTTTTGTTGACGTCACCTTTTTTCAGAAGAATGCGCATTTTGCTGCAGAGCAGTGTGAGAGCACGTGCTGGGCGCCGCCTTTGTAGTGCAAATGCGGCCAAGTGCACGAGGGAAAACTTTCCGAAAGACTCATAGCGCGTGCATCGTCGAAAAGATTACGTCAACAAAAAATTCCGCCGTGGGCCAACCCATCCGCGAGTTGCACACTCTTGTTTATCTACTCTTGGTAGTACTAATAGAACATTGTTTCTTAGAAAAAAAACATTTATTGAAGAAACGTCAAACTCAAACGTCCAAGTTATTTATACTAAAAATTATAGTTGCTGTGGAAGACTTCAAACAATATTGTGTTGAGTACTGTAGCACTCCAGAGCAACTCGACCATAGTATCGCGCCGGTAGTGCGGGGACCACAAAATAATGACGAACAATTCAAAAAATAAGGAACAAGTCACAATTACAAGCCAAGAATAACTCTTCGCTCACCTCCTTGCTTCGACAAATATCCACACAGTGACTTCGGGGATCCAGGTACAGATGGCTAAAATGCAGAAGAAGAAGCAGCAGCAGACGGGGCAAATTTGTTTTCGCTGATTATTGCTCGGCACATGCAATTCTCAATTCTCTGCTGCTATTCGGACCTTTTTAGCTTGAGTTTCATCATTGTTGTTTTTCCCTGGAGAAGCGGAGCTCGATTTATTCTTGTCGATACAGCTGTCTGAGCCCACGTCCACAACCTCCCATGAGTTCAGGAAGTTTTGACTTTGTTCCGCTGCCATTTCAAAATACAAGTACAAGTATGCATCGAAGCGATGCTCAAGTCAAGACAAGTCCAGACTACCAGCCTACAAGTGTAGCCAGGCTTCACACTGCAGTTGGGCAGCACTCCATCCACGCCAACACAACAGTCAACACTCGATCGTCTAGATCTACACGATCATGTACGACAACAGCGAAAAATGCCAAATCTGCCACACACGTGTAGATCCACGTCGCGTCGCACGCAAAGTATGGCGTATGTCGGTATGATTCAGGTTGTTTCGTACTCTTACGTCATTGCCATTGTTACCATGGTTACTCTGATCTGGGCGCATTGGCGCATCTGGTCCTACACTAACTGCTAGTCTTCTAGATCTGGGGAAGTCGATCCTGCTAGCGAGCGCGCGGTGATCTGTCTACGGCCCACGAAAGCCGCTGCACGATCACGGAGGCCGGAGGCGAAACGTACAAGATCTGGTCGGTTCCCCCCACTATCCCCACTCCCGATCCCCAGGCCGGCCCAGCCAGCCAGTTCTCAAGCTTGCCGTTTTGATTGCTGTTGTTTTGTTCTTCGTGAAGTAAAATAGAAAGGGAGAAGACCTTGCTAGTCTTGTACCCAGTGCGTCAGCTTCTGTTTGTGCTCCTCGTGTCGAGTGGCTTTGGTCGACTCGCATTCTTTTCATCATTTTGGCTTAGTTCTCTACGCTATTGCGCTCGCCACACAAAGGCGAAAGCGCAACACGAATAGAGGAAGATGGATCCTGCACCGAACATCGTCTTCGTGGGCCAAGTACCAAGGGACATGGGAGACCATGAGTTACGAGATGTGATGGAAGAGTGTGGCCGTGTCCTCCATATCAATATGCTCACTGACAGGAACACTGGCCAATTCAAAGGTAAGAAACACTCACTGGCTTCTCCTTTGCAATTCGTTTCTTTCTTTGTGTCTCCGATTAGTGTCTTGCTTTGAGCACAATGGGAGCAATACCACGTTTTTTCAGTATGAGCAAGTTGTTAATTAGAACTAAGGGTTCGTAGAGGACCTTGACTGCACTGTAAAAGATTTCTCCGATCCTCCTTTTGTGCGGGGCGTGCGTGCGTACTTCAAACTGCATTGCACGTGGCTGAGACTTGACCTACATTTTGGCTCATGGCCACTGTTGTCCTCTTGCATTACACCGTGTGCTCGTTGAATGGAAGAAGCACTGAAATCCTTGCGCGGAGGGCGAATTCACTGGAAATATATCCTGGGAAGTGTATTTGGCGGGCAATTTATTTGTTCTCTGCCATCGTAGCAAGAAATCATGCATAATCTTTTTCCTTCGTCAACCCGGCTTGCCATTTCAAGTACATGACTTGTACATTATGTTATGCTCTAAAGGCGGACACTGAAGCACACCTGCATGGACTGGTAATTTGTGTGCCTTGATGGCCTTCCATTGGTATGATGATATTGTCAGAGACGGGCGGTCTTAGCACCCAGGGGCATGATCCCTGGGCCATGCTGACATTCTCTGCACTGACCAATGGCGGGCGTCTCCCTACAATTGTTTATTTGGAGGTTTTTGGGGAAAGAAGTGAAAAATTCATTGCTCACATGGCGATCTATTTGTTTGTTGTTACCATCTCTGTAGGTTGTGCTTTCGTTACATATGAGTCAAATGACGAAGCCCAACGGGCCAAAGACACGTTCCACGACAAGAGACGTCTCCCCGGGGTGAGTGGCGTATTTTCTTTATATTTTGCTCAAAGTGCTACTCCCGTCACCTACTCGTGCGTGACCCAGCTGTGCAGCATTATGCTGTATCCACTCACCAAGTCGCCTAGCCGTGTCCCTGACTCGCACGTGCATCATTGTGTGCGACCTGTGTGTGCCGAAGGAAACACCTCCATATCTAGCAGTGTGATGTCAGTGGTGATCAACCCTGCTACTTTCTGAATAATGTACACGTATGATGTATGGGGAGTGTGCCGAGGGAGGTGTTGTCTGGACTTAATTTACGTGCCACCACGGATGCAATATCGAGTTTTTGTCAAGTACTAATCAGCACATGTTCTGCCACCCGTTATTGGGAGTAACCATATGTGTCCCGTTTGTATGATTGGGTATCACGTGTGCATGTTCTGTAAGGCTGGTGTTCCATTGCGTGAGGAAATGTATGTGTCTGTATCCTTATGCATGGCGTATGTACAGTCCGTTTAAGAACTGAGGCTTTTGTACTGTGAACCAATTAATCTATGCAGGCATGTTTTCACAATGGTCAGCTGTTGCTTCAGGTTTTTGCATGCATGTCCAACCACCAGGCCATTTGCCGTGTCTTTGTCGTCTCCAAGAGGACTGTGGAGTAATACAATCTCGGTTTCAAGTTTGCAATTCACGAGTCGATAGATCACGCTGTATTTGTTGCAGCAATGTTGCTGGCCACTTCACAACAATTGCAGTTCCGTCCGAACAGGCTGCTGTTTTCCTTGTGTATACGTACGCTTGTTTGTCTGCGTGGTGTATGCGTGTTTGTGCGCGTGCGCATGCATGTTTGTCTACGTGACGTGTGTATGTGTCCGTGCTTTGTCTCTCTTCTTGTTCCATGTCATCGTGTGTGCCTGTGCCTATCATTGGGCGTGACCTCTGGATAATCTTGTGCTCGACGTTGTGTTGTCCTACGTACAATGTTGCCGATGGAATCGACTCGTTCGTCCTTGTGTTTGTGGGGCTGACCTGCTGACGCAACGTTCTCCCTCTCAATGTTGTCATTGTGACCTTGTGGCTTGTCTGCGTGGTAATGATGCTGGTGCTGGCCCGTGTGTGTTCCTCGTGGGGCTCCTAGGCCAATCACGCCATGCAAGTCACTGCGGCGCGTGCCAAGGCCGGGGGTGCCTTTGGCGGCGGCGCGACACCTGCCGCTTCTCATGGTGGTGTGTCTGGTATGGCTACCTGTACTTATGGAATAATTGTTATTGTGTGTGTATGTTTGTCGGTTCCTTTGTTGTGCATGTTCCCTTGGAAAAGACGCGTCCCTCTTCTGACCCAGCTGGGATCTCCTCACCTGGCCCGCACTAGCTGCAAGCGATATATCCCAAGCCTCAGATCCAATTTGTTCAATTTGTGTCCCCACCTATAAGATCGAAACCTGTTAACTTGCTTTGCATAGTTGTGACGGTGTTCCGTGACAATGAGTTCCCAGCTGGATCACAAGAGTCCTAGCTAGTGGATTCTTAGCATCGTCCATAGTGTTGTATCCATGACTATAGGAGCGTTCTTTGCCCTTTGCCAACCTATAAGGAGGTTTCATTGTAATTGTTTTGATTTGTCGGTTCAGCTCATTGTCGCCATGTTGGCGCTGTAGCATCATGTCGTTACTGATGAAGACCTACTGTATGTTGTACATGGATGTTGCAACTGTCTTCTGTAGTTTGAGGTGCGGGTTGCAGTTCCTCTGTGGTGCAACTTTAGTAGTGCTCACTGTGTTTTCGCGTGTAGTCACTTTTGTCATGCTCGAAAAATCTCGGCCACCTGTTAGTGTTGTACCCGTAGAGCACGTGGACCTCTCTTCTAGCGGGATCGGGGGGAAAACCTGTTGCCAGACTCTTGCTGGATTCAATTGTGCCCAGCGTGTGCCACTCGTCCTGCACGGACAGAGCTGAATCGTTTCGATGAATCTGCTGTCTCTATGTGACTGAGCCAAATTCTTTGGACAGCTTGTTGATCGTGTCGGGAGTGATTGCATGGCGCCCTCTTTAGTATATTGTTTCTCCTTGTTTTACCTGTTTGGCTTCAGAACAGTGAGCTTAGCATCCTGTTGGTCATACTGGCTTCTAATACTTGTTTCTTATGCTAATTGCCTGTTACAGAGTCTCGACCCGATACTCACCAGCCGCGGAAAAAGCTCTTTGTCGGCATGCTTGCGCGTACCTTAGGCGATGAAGATCTCCGTCAGATGTTCCTGCCCTATGGCGACGTTGAAGATTGTGTCATCCTGCGCAACAGTGACAAAACTAGTAAAGGTAGGATTTCTGATTACTGAGGCACCATGGCCTGTTTGTGTTATGCTCTTATGGGTCAGCCAGCCACCAGTAGCTTACTGGAAGTTCTGGATCGTTAGCCCAGAGCAAATTTGGATGAGATGTGATCTATGGCCTGGTCATATACTAGTGGCTGTGATATCAATAGCATTTGCTTCTCATTCCTTGTTGCTCGGCTCTGCACCCGGTATGATGATATTGTCAGAGACGGGCGGTCTTAGCGGCACGGCTGGCCTCGGCCGCCGTGACACCTGCTGACAATCTCTGCACTGACCGGTTGTTGGCGTCCAATCTGCTCCGTGTGTGAAGCTTGCCTGCTCGGGCGTCTTGCAGTGTGTCTGGTGACATACTCTGGCTTTGTTTTAGTTTTGTAAAATTTCCCCGGGGTGTTTTCATTCATTGCCTTCCTCTCCTTACGTGTGGTTTGTTTTTGTGTAGGATGCGCTTTCGTCACGATGACCGATATGAACTCTTGCCAGAAGGCTATCGTAGCATTGCACAACAGTCAGACATTTCCAGTAAGGCTTTTTGTGGTCTTGTCGTGCTGTTGACCTCTAGTAATGCTAGAAAGGACTATATGGACTGCACGCCCCATCCAGCCACACTTACACCAAAAAATATACTGGTAGATCTATTCATCTTCAAGCGTTCATTGCACAAGTGCATCCTGCTTCTTTGTTTGCGATCGGGATAGTTCTGACCCTGTCATGCCTCCTGTGTTGTGGACGGTGTGCGCCCTGTGTACATTTCCATTGGTATGATGATATTGTCAGAGACGGGCGGTCTTAGCAACCAGGGACACGATCCCTGGGCCATGCTGACATTCTCTGCACTGACCAATGCTTCTTTTCGTGCAATTTGTGTGCATGAAGCCACTTCGCATCATCTTGTAACTGCGCGCGTGTGTGTCCAGCTGCCTGGGTAACTTCTATTTTGTTGTTCTCGTCTCGTCCCTTGTAGGGCTGCTCTGGACCAATGGTAGTGAAATTTGCGGACACCCAGGCACAAAAGGAAGGCCGGCAGCGTGTCAGGATGGACATGCATGTTCCAGGCCCGATGCACCAGCCGCCGCCAATGCACCATCCTGCTGCACCCGCCGGCCATGTGCCTCATCTTCACCCGCCGCCAATGTCAGCAGCACCCGCGCCCGCCTATAGCCATCACCTCGGCATGCCCCCGCAGCAACCGGCCTCCCAGGCTGTGGCTCCTGCAGGTGGTCCCGGGCCGGATTTGTCCAGTTTGCAAAACCTCCTGGCACCCACAATGGCCCAGGTGAGCCTGGCCTTTGCTTTTCCTTCATATGTGTGCGTGCTTCTTACTAGTACACTGTTCTTTTTTTCTGTGCCGAAGGCCATCCCTGCATCCGTATACTTTCTTCACGATTGCGTCTGATTAATTATGTAGGGACAGCATTGTGTATGGGAGTTGCGCGCGCTCTCTTCAATATGATGTATTTAATATTGTGCATTATCCTGGCCAAGCAGTCGATTGCCTTGCTCCATGAATAAATGTCCCTGTCAGTCCTTTGTCAGTCTGTGCGGGTCTACTCGCTTATATGTTTCCTTTTCGGTTCCCTCTTTCTCTGTCTCCATCTAATCTTGTTCATCTTGTTCAGCTTGTCAAGCAACAACAAGAGTTGCAACAGCAACAGAGGAACATCAACCAGGCCTTGCAGCTGCTAGGAATTCCGTCAGCTAATGGTGAGCTGGCCATAGTTCACGCTTTTTCTACTGTAAATCAACTTATTTTCGCTGGCGATTTAACCCTTTCAGGGCGGACTTGATTCAGGTAAACTGCTACATGCACTACGTATGGAAGCAGTTTTGATCATAAGTTCCATTTCCTTTTATCCGTTTTGATAATCTTGGGCTTCCTGGAAAGCTCTTGGCCAGAGGAACACACTGGTGTAATCCTCACTTGCTACAGTACCACTATTATTGGCGCTATAGCGCTGGGATGACATGAAACGGCACTTTGAGCCGATTTGGTAAAAAATGCTGAAATTTCCGGACAGCTCCAGGTCAGTATGCACTGCACAGTCATGACGGATATATCCGTCATACCGTCCCTAAAGGGTTAATTGCATTGATACAAAGCGGCCTACGTTCTCCATCGAGGCAAATGATGCACGATTGAGCCATGGCTCCGTGTGAGACCAGCAACTGCCGATCGGTTTCCTATTTCGAACCCGGGATCGGCTAGTTTGTTGATTTTACAGTATTTGCGCATTATCCAATGTTTCTTGATTTAATTGTACCCCACCTCCCACACACACACACACACACACACACACACACACCGCCAAGGCTCCTCTAATCTTGGTACCCAACGTCAAGACTGTGTGGTTGTTTGTTCCTTCTCTGATCCTTAGTCTTCCTTTGGTTATGGGGTCTTTATGCAGGTGGTGGTGGTGGAAGTGGTGCCAGCGATTATCCTGGGGCGGCAGCAGATCCTTCCATTTATGCTCAGGCCGGCATGTCTAGCAGTCCGGCAGCTGGCCTGGGTTATGATGCACCCTTGGCTGGTGGCGCCTCTCACGTTGCCCACAGTGCTGCTGCGGCTGCCGCAGCTGCTGTTAGCAGTGGCGTTGGCGGTCCTGCCACATCTGGTCCTGGCGGATATAGAACGGGTAAGCTGTCAGCCATACTACTGACACTTCTTCTGCCTAGAATCTACAGTAAAACCTGGCCCAGCCGCACGCTCTTGGTGCAGCGAAATCTCTCCTTATATGACAGGATTCCGCTTGATCCAGTGATGCACGTTCGATCCACACCACATTGTTGCAAGACCATCTGTCCAGTCGATGTAAAGAAAATAGGCAATACTCTTTGAGCAAGTGGCGCTCAATTGCACACTTCATGTTGGGTGATATCTGGTCATGAACTCTGCCCCATTTTACAGTATTCATTTCTTCAGTTGTGAGTCAAGTGGTAAGTCGTCGGCGGAATAGCGCGAGCTCCAGTATGGGAGCAAACCCATTCCTAAATCATTTCTTCACTTTGTGGTTTTATCATGATCTTTAGAACTCGGCTTGCCTTGTGTGTGGCTCACAGCAATGACTCCCACCCTATAGTGCAGTGCTTGCATCGCAGGCATCCAACACCGCACATAGACCATTGTTGACATTTGTTGATCAAGGCCTGTGTCTATTTTTTTTCTTGTCTTTTCGTAGGTCCAGATAATTCTAATCTCTTCATTTACCACCTGGCTTCTAGTGCCACTGACAACGATCTCTATCAGCTGTTCTCAGCGTATGGTCGCGTGCTCAGTGCGCGCGTCTATTGTGACCGCAATACAGGACAGAGCAAAGGCTTCGGTAAGTCTGCTCTCTCTATCCTGTGTTTTAGCAAGGCTAGCGTTCAACGGGCTATTCATCATGTTCCACCTCCTGTAGTAGTTTTGTGTTCTTCAGATGTATGGCATGTTATATCCCTGCCAGTGTACATGCTTGGTGCTGCCTCAAGGGACCATCCAAACGTGTCTCTGTTATCAGGGGTTCTTATCCACAGCCATTCAACTGGACATACTATTATCTCTTGGTCCTGAATGCAGTTATCGCCTTAACAGGTTTTACTGTTCTTGCATATTTGCTGTCTGTCACTAGGCACGAGCAGGTTAAAACCGTTGCTGTCTGTGTCCGAGACATGATGAAAACTTTAGTTCTATCCATCTTTCGGGGCTGATCTCCGTGATGATACATGACAAGCTGATCTCGGACACATGGCTATTACAAAATAGTAGTAGAGCATAGTATTTCTTGAGTCTTGACCCAGCATAGTAGCACTGTTCCTGTTGTGTTTGTTAGCGACTTGTCTCATTTTCCCCGCTCTGGTGCTCTTTTCAGGTTTTGTTAGTTACGACAACCAGCAGTCTGCTGAGGCAGCTATTGGCTCACTGAACGGATACCAGGTACGCAGCACTGCTCTTGCGTCCCTGCAAGCATATTTTTACTTGGGATGCTGTCCCACATTAGGCTCTATAGGAGGAAATTGCATCCTGGGAAGTTGCTTTCCGTAGTGCCTTTGCTCCATGAGGAATGATGAAAGCTGTAGTTTTATCCATCTTTCGGGGCTGATCTCCGTGATGATACAACCTCTAACAAGCTGACCTCTGCCAATCCACTATCTCTCTTGCTCGTACATACACAAGCTTCTCTGCTACTACAGTTTGGTACAATTGTTGTCTATTATTCTACTGCTCTCTGGTATTACAGATGGGTGGACGTCGGCTGAAAGTCCAGCTCAAGAAAGGCCGTGAAGGCGCAAGGCCATACTAGGTACCAGGATATGTCGGGCCATGCTACTACTACCCTGCAGTGCCTGCTATTGTCATATGGCATTTGTCATGCAGTCAGTGCGCTGCTGCTCGCAGCTCTTGTCCCGTCTTGATTTGCATCCGGGGTCGGCTTCCGGTGTTCTACCCAGGTGTCCTACATTCTATTTCGACCTGTCCTCCTTCTTTTCCTCCTCACACCCTGGCGTTGCTATGCATGTTCCCATCTGGTCGCTTATGATACACTATACCCTCCCCCCTTCACGGCAAGCCGGTCAGGCCTCCATGTGTACATCAGTTACCGTGTTTAGTAGGTGTGCAGTGGCTTTGTGAGCTGCGTGTTTTTCGCCTTCTTTTGTTTTAGTGCTGTATCCACCCCAATCGTCCCTTTTTTTAGAGCACGTTGCTGGTCATGTGCATCTACAATAGAACACCATTAGGTTTTATCATGATACAATTAAGGTGCCGTGCCAAGTAATGAAGTCTCCGTGCGTCATCTTGTGCTGCACTGTCAACGTACTTTTAGATTTAATCCTGTTCCTAAGTACTGTCTGGTACTTCCTGTTGTGATCTCCTCCGCACTACGGTCTAGTTAATATCCACATTTGTTGTGCTCGTGTCGATGTTCTACCACGCACACGATCATCCTAATAATTATTACCCTAACTTAGTTAACTAGCTGTATGCCCTATTTGCTGCAAGTTGCATCCGTCAGTTAGTTCGTGCTTTGTTGTTTTCCTAGGCTTCTGTCTCTTCATTCCCGTTCCATATACAGTACCGGTACTGATTTATTTGAATAATGAACAAGTAACCTGTGTTGTAGATTACAAGCTTGTAATCTACAACACAGGTTACTTGTTGGAACGCGAAATGAACTTTCGTAGGAAGTTTCGTGAGATTGGGTCATGTCGTACGTGCACTTGGCGCGTGCAAACTACGAAAATGTGCAGAACACAAAGTTCGTGCGAAACTTCGTTTGAATTTTCGTTGTGCAGAACCTCTCTATTAAAGGGGAACTCCACGAAAAAATGAAAATTTGATAGCCTGTACGAGGTGGTTTGGCTTTTTTTAACATGGTTGTAAAATGACGTTTTTTCAGTCACTTCTAGACAAGCTACGTCCAAATGAATTGTTGCAAGTGGAAGTGCTATCCTTCATGCCCGTTGTGTCCAAAAATGGGAATGATCCCACTTTGGAAATTGTCTCGAATCATGTCCTACTTTCATAGTATTCTCAGGATTCAAATAATTGGTGTGTCATTTTTTAACAAATTTGTAAAATGGCATCACAAACTGGGATATTCGGTCATCAATGTTCTGAAGTTAATAGATATCACTTCAAGGATTGCTAGTGGATGAAAATTAATCTATCAACAGAAGAGTGAACTGCATTGTATGCTGCGAAAGCCGTGTTTTTGTATTTGTAACTAGTGGCTGTGTTATACGGTGGAATTGGGTAGATAGCATAGCATCGCAGCGATGTTTTCGTTCTCACAGAGTGTATTCCGTGACCTTCTGTTCTTCATTACTGTCTCTAGTGATGGCAAGACGGCCTGACGTCGTCCAAAGGCCCTGCGGAAGCAATTCACTGCCCTCCTCGTCCATTCAGGGGCTCATTTTACACATTTTACACAAAATGGCAAAGCACCCACCACTAGTTATACCAACGTGGCAGGGAGAATTAAATTATATGCACCAAATTTTCTGGTCAATGTTGATCTACGATAAACTGGCTCTCATTTGCCACCACCCATGTTTCGATACAGCCATCCGGAGCAGAGAAACAGCCAGAAGAAAAGCAAATTTTACACATTTGTTAAAAAATGCCAAATGTTAAAAAAAAGCCAAATCACCTCGTAGAGTTTAGGGCGCTGAGTCGAATGGTCTTGACTCTTGGTCCGAAGTCTCTACGAGAAAGCGTTCTTGAGATATTTCAATTTTAGCCACGCCCCATATCAATGTATGTGTGACGTCATTGTGGCATGGTGCGAGAATACTTGGATTTTGAATCTCACTTTCTTCAGGACGAACGTCACTTCAGAAAGTAGTTTGCCAAGTCGCCTGAGCCGCTGCAATGCCAAATTGTTGTGTTGTTGATTGTGCCAGTATCACATCATCCTCGACTCAGCGCCCGAAACTCTACAGGCTATCAAAGTTTCATTTTTTCGTGGAGTTCCCCTTTAAGGGGGGACGGGAGGTTCAGAGGGTCAAAAAATGAATTTCTGAGTTTTGAACTTTTTGCTATGGAATCTTGTCTTAGGATATTTGAAGCGCCAGAATTTCAAATTTGAGCGTAATCGGTTTAGTAGAAGTGGAGTTATGAGCTAAAGTATGTCGAGATAAATTTCAAATGTAAATACTCAAATGTTTACAATTGCCTAAATTTGTGATTTTGGTTTAGTCCAAAATCAAGCGTTTTTGATTCAACTTCGCCAGGTAAGCGACCCTGGCTTCTGTTTTTGTAGTCATGGAGAGCTGCCACGTGCTTCCTTGATCGCGTACGCGCGTATGACGTTCTGCAGCGCCACGACGCCCACGCGAAGGAAAAAATCTTTGTTTTTTTGTTTGTGATCGTGAAAGTGAACAATTTTACATGGGGAACCGAAAGAGAAGCTCCAGCAGCTCTGGAAGTGGCCATAGGAGGAAGAAAAGGAGATACTACGCCCCAAAGCAGTCAAGCTCTGTACCAGTTGTGGAAGAAGGCACCGTTGAAGCGGCGCAGAGCGCTTCCTCTCGGAAGATTTCGTCGAGGCCAAAATGGCTTAGTGATATTATTATGGTCATGGAATTTGAATCTGAGCTTGTGTGCTCGAGTGACAGTGATTCAGACGAGTCGTCCAGTGATAGCTGCCAGGAGTATGATGATGATGCATTCTATCCTGATGTTGAGGAGTCTGTCTCTGGCTACAAGATCGTGGATTTACAGTGTCTCCAGGAACTGATGGATCAATTAAATTTACTGTCTGTAGGAAGTGCACGAAGGGAGACATGATCGTCAGTAACTGTCATGACACTGGACTTGGATCGACCCTGCGACTTCAATGCGCTTTGTGTGGACACAGTGGAAGTACGTCTCTGAGCAAGAAAATTTGCAGGAGCTATGATCTGAATTGACGATCTGTACTGGCGATGCGATGCATTGGACGTGGCCATGGTGGACTCCGAAAGTTTTGCGGCGTAATGAATTTTCCTGCTCCTGTAACGGAGAAAGCGTACCGCAGCCACCAGGAAGTTGTCCTTGCTGCAGCCGTAAAGCTAGCTGAAACTGACATGGTTCAATCCGCAGCTGAGTTGCGTGCCATGACAGATTCCACCCACGTCGCAGTGACGTTCGACGGCACTTGGATGCGCAGGGGATAATTCGTCGCTGTATGGTGTGTTCGCGTGCATCTCCTTCCAGAGCGGCCGTGTACTGGACATCACAGTGAAGGGTCGATACTGTCACGAATGTAAGATCTGGACTGAGAAGAAGCGAAGTGGTGCAATCACGGAGGAAGCCTTTTCAACCTGGCTGGATAATCACAAGTGCAGCATAAACACAGCGGCATCTGCACCCGGTATGGAGAGTGAAGCTGCGTGCGATATTTGGCAGCGGTCTGTGGGCACACGCGGAGCCCTCATAAGAACCCTCTCCCAAAGGCTGTGTTCGAAGTCGTGAAGCCCATCTACATGCAGCTGTCCGAACGAAGTCTGCTGGAGCGCTGCCAGATGGGTGCAACGCAGAATGCGAACGAGTCGTTCAACAACGTCATTTGGAGAATGTGTCCGAAGGAAGGCTTCTGCTCCGTCGACACCGTTCAGCTGGCAAGTAGTTTGGCAGTGCTCAACTTCAACAACGGCGCTATCACCTTGCTCAGTGTGCTGAAAGAGTGTGGATGCATTGATGGCAATCACACGAAGGCAGCGCTTGAGCTAGAAGACCAATGGCGTGTGAAGAAGTCCCTCCGCAAGTCATCAGCAGTGGAAAAGGAGAGCAGGAAAAGGAGAAGGAGGCAGAGGAAAGGCTGGGAGGAGACCACTATTGAGAAAGAGGGCACTACATATGACAAAGGTGGTTTCTGAATGGCAACTTCAGGTCAGATATGTGAAAATATTTCAGTAGCACTCCACTATCAGTCCTTTTTATGTAATTTTTAGGTGCATTTTTCACTGATTTTAGGGGTATTATGGGCACTCCGCGCAGTTTTTTAGAAATGCTGTACATATCTTGTATGTAAAAGTATATATTTTCTGGTTCTGTACGGTCCATTCTAGATCCGTTGCCTTCTTAGGACACAAGATCTTCTGTTAGAAACAAAATAATGGACCTTGAACTTCAGTCAAGTTATCTTGCGCACGTGCATTGTTATTTCAAGGCTGCAGTGGCACACCATGGGAACTGTAATCGCATTGTGCTTAGGCAACAGCCCTAGCCCCTTGGTACCTGATCATTTTGCAGTGTTATGTGTTTATCTTCAAGTGACCATGTTTGAGAAAAACTGCGCAGAAATCATGCCCGGCTATCGCATTTTTTCCAAAATTGCTTTCCTGCATTTCTCCATGATACCAGTATACTTTCCACAGTTCTTGGTTGCAATGTCGTCAGTGGATGTCAAGGAACATATACTGAAAATTTGAAGGAATTCTGATGTTTGAGTGCTGAGATTCAAGCGAATTTATAACGGGCACCGCAATATGGCCAGCGAACCTCCCGTCCCCCCTTAAAGGGGAAGTATACCCTAAAATCAAATTTTCACCAGTTGTAGTCTTCGGGGTGCTGAGTCGAATGGTCTTGGTCCGAGGAAGCTGAGACGCTCCCTTCCTACTTGAATCCCAATCGAACTCGCGCACTTCCACCGAAACTGGGTGACTGCGCCCTACTAGATGGGGATTTGTATGCAAAATGTCACTAAAAGCGCCATTTCGTTCTTATAAAAGCACGGATGACCGCGATTGGCCCATATGTTGTAGTCTTTTGGACGCTGAGTCGACTGGTTTTGGTCCGAAAAGGCTGCGATGCAGCGTTCCTCCTTTATTCCCAATCGAACATGGTTGAAGAAGCGGTCACGTGCTCCTGGGTGCCCAAATCACCTGGTCACCGCGCCAGCAGGCGACAACTTTCACACCAAGGTTCAACTCGAGTTCAACTCGAGTGACAGGACTGCACCCAAAAAAGGTCAAACAGGCTAGTAAGTTGTACCCTGCAGGCACGGTGACCAGGCGACTGGTGTACGCACGAGCACGTGACCGCTTCTTCAACCATGTTCGATTGGGAATAAAGGAGGAACGCTGCATCGCAGCCTTTTCGGACCAAAACCAGTCGACTCAGCGTCCAAAAGACTACAACATATGGGCCAATCGCGGTCATCCGTGCTTTTATAAGAACGAAATGGCGCTTTTAGTGACATTTTGCATACAAATCCCCATCTAGTAGGGCGCAGTCACCCAGTTTCGGTGGAAGTGCGCGAGTTCGATTGGGATTCAAGTAGGAAGGGAGCGTCTCAGCTTCCTCGGACCAAGACCATTCGACTCAGCACCCCGAAGACTACAACTGGTGAAAATTTGATTTTAGGGTATACTTCCCCTTTAAAGCTCAATCTACAGTTGCATACTTCACTAGTTTGAGGGAAAGAGACAAACGGGAAAAGTCTGAAGAAAAAATTTGACTGTCACCACCAGGACTCGAACCAGGGCCGCCATCCCAGCAGAGACTGTTCAACATTTTCTTCAGACTTCGTAACTCACACTTCCTGTGAATCCACACAGGCGGGTGGGACGCAGCCCTCACTGTACCCACACACTTCACGTACACT